GAGAAGAAAACTAATAGAGATGGGAGAGAGAGGAATAGAGACAGTTTCTTAAAAATTCTGGTAAAAAAAAAAGGTGATGACTTAGGAGCTTGGGTCCCCAAGACTAGACAAGGACTAAGAATGGCATCAAGAAGGGTTATGTATTACTTCCCCCACAAATGGGGGAGGGAGGTGGCACTTCTCTTAATAAAAATTCATTTTAGTGAATATTTTATCTTTTTCGATTAAAAAAATAAAAACCTTACTGATACAACTAATAAATAAGCAAACTCCCAAGGTACAGATCACAACCTCAGCCTGAAGTCCTAAGACTACAAGGAATCCACTAATACTGTAAATGAGGCATTGGGGTGGAACATGGAGTGGGGACGACTTCATGTTATTTTCATTTTTTTAAAATGTTAATAGAATTGTCTATTCATATTAAAGATAAACAGATTAACAAACATCAATCGTCTGAATAATTAAATTTAATACTGATACTACTATCTGAAGCATATGTTTTGATTTCAGACCCACCTACAGGCCCTTGGTTAATAAAAATGGAAACTGAAAATATCACTTAATAAATATAATTGATTTGGTTAAAAAAAAAATCTTCCAACTCATGGAACTGTGGGAAGGAGTGGAGAGATAATGAACTCTTTGATAGTATAAATTGTGTGAGTTACTGGTTCTCTTACCAGCTACTTTCAAGATAGCTGGAAACAAGGTCACAAAACAAGCACTGAAGTCTCACCTGCTAACACTCAGTGGGTCTATATATAATACAACTGAATTATGTTATATCTAGGGTTTGGAGTGGAGCTTATATTATAAAGATTATTTTAGGCAGGCTAACAAAAGGTCAAAATGATAAGAGCAGAATAAAAGAACATGAAAATCGTTCATTTGAGGAAAAGCAAATGCCAAGGGGAGGGAGGATGTCATGACTACTGAGAAGTTTTCTAAAGTGAATTATGTATCTACACAGCAAAAGAAAGAATGGGGATTAGAAAGTAATAATGGCAAAACCAGAAGAAAGATTTCAGATAAAAACCTCTATTTTTCTTCTCCAGCTTTCTTTTATCAATATAGCCATAAGTCATGAAGAAGCAATAGAACTAGAATGTTCCATAATGATTACAGATGAAGTTGGGCACCTTTTACAACACTACTTCAGCTACTAG